GAAGAAGAAGAAGAAGAAGAAGGAGAAGGAGAAGGAGAAGAAGAAGAAGAAGAAGAAGAAAAAGAAGAAGAAGAAGAAAAAGAAGAAGAAAATAGTATTATTGTTTTTAAATCTGGTAGCAGCTGTAGCTCTTACCTTAACTTTAACCTTACTCTAACTCTAACCCTGACCACGAAACCTAAATCAAAAGCACGTTTGCGGTCTGTCACAACCCTGTTGGTACTTTTAAGGCTAGGGAACCAAAAATCCTAATTTTGTGAGATCATGGTGAAGTCGATCAGGGGCTCGTCGAAATGCTAGAATCGAAGAAACCGGCATTTTGCAGCACGTTTGGAAAATTTAATTGATTTTTTCCTATCACTGAATTGAGCGATTGACCCTCTCGTCTGAGCTCTCATGCGTACTTTATAGGTCTATGTAAATAAATGATAATAATCTATATTTATTATATTTGTGAAAGTTCGTCACTTCGGCCGCCTAAAACTTTCGAAACACTTAACTTTCGAATTGGACAAAATTAAAGGTGGTTCAGAATTCAGAATCATTTAAAGGGTGCACAGTTTTATTGAGGAGCCTGAAGTCACTGTAGTTTAATTTTCAGCTTTTTCATTAGTTTCGTTTAGATCTAATCTTGAGAAAGTCCGTCTTCTAAGACGCCCTTGTAAATAAGTGAGGTTTCCGTTACGTAGCTGTGCGCACTGGTTCCACACCTTTGAAATTCTGGAGTGTACAACCACAAAAGCAGAATAGAGAATCGATCTATACATCTCTATATCTAGACCTTCTAATTTTTCTTATCTCTCAAGATGTATTGCTCCATTCCAGTAGAGTGTAAATATAGTACATGTAGGCCAATGACTTTCAGTTGATGTTAATTCACCGATCATTCCTTTCATCGAAAGGGGGTCCAGCTAGCTAATGATAATTCTGTGTAAGCGTGCCTTGTTACGTAGGCCTATAGTTGTTATTAATTCATGCATCATCCACTCGTAAGCGACAATCCTTTCCTTTCACCCTAACCCGCGCAAGGGGGCTCTACTGACAGCGAAGGAAGATTTCTTCTTTAAAAATGTCTCCTTTCGCCTCCTTTCCTGCTCTCTAGCAATGTTTTATCGTCTGCTCTTTGATCTCCACTTTGTGCCCCGCCCCCTCACCTCATGTGTCCCTTCCTCTGGGCTCCTGACTCTTTATTATGCAGCCTTAAATTTCTACTGCTACTCCTTGGGTCCTTTTTACTGCTGTCTTTCCGCCACAACCCCGATCGTATGGTAGGTAAGATCTAACACCTAGCCTTCTCGGACAAGGGCGAAAAATTTCGGAGAATCCGTGTGCAAGTTGCGCATGTTAAAGATCCCTTGGTGGTCTAAAATCGATAAGAGTAGGCTTCGGCCGCCACCCGGGCGAAATTCAAAATTTCCTACCAATTGAAAATGTTTGGTGTGTCCCGCGAGCTCATATGACCTTATGCAGTTGCGAGCGCCCTAAAATACTTACCCAAACCCC